TGGATTGGCAAAGAAGTTGTGGGAATCAGTTTTTGCAGTCTTTGCTGATAATGTCTGGGCGCGGTTCTTAAACGGTTGCTGGTTTGCAGTCAGTGGCAAAGATTAGATTTAAGTGAAATATGAGAAGGCTTTCTGATGTGTCTTCTTGAATGCTTTCTTTCGATGACGAAATCGGCTCGATTTTTAAACTAAGGGACCCGAAGTTGTTTGAATCTACATTTCTTTGAAATGGAGCAGATTAAAAAATAAAAATAAAAAAAAAACACTGGTCCTGTTTCAAAGGGACTTCCAATGTGAGCGTAATCATTCTTTTGTGGTGGTTTGCATTTTGTTAGTTTGTTTAAAGGGAACATAAAATTGACTTTTTAATAGCTTGTGGACAAATAGTCGGGTCTCTGAAGTGCCTGCCCACCCATTAAGTGTGAAAGTACACAACCAAATTCATGTTGTGTGAGCTGCCTCTTAAAGTGAGCTGTTTTGAATTTCAAAATAATTTTACAAGTAAAAGCAGAGTGCTGAGCAGAACTTTAGGGTTGTTTGGGGCACGGCAACATATCTCAGCACATTGGCGGGGAGGCGGGCGTGCCATTTGAGTTTGGCACCACTCTGCAAGCAAACTGACAAGCGGAAAGAAGTGCCGCCTCCATGAGTGAAAATACGATCGCATCTGATGCTGTCTTTACCAGGGCTTGCATTTTTCTTCAAACTCGGGCTTGCACTTGCACACAAGTAGCCGCTGCGCAAAAGCCATACTCGCAAAAGGCCAACAGGGAATCCTTGATGAACTCCAATAATTTGCTCCTGATGTTTGAAGTCATAATTTTGATCCAACACCAAAGTGTCCATCTTTTGAGCCATTCAAACTTAGAGCGACCAATTCATTAAAGAAAAGCGGCCCTGTACTCCATGACCGCAGTAGAAAAAGCCGTTGTCCTCAATAGACACTAACGTCGAAATTTTGACGGAAAGGGAGTCTGACAGTGTCGGAAGTTCGGAGTGATGAAATAAGACAGCAGGATGTGCGGGATTCCCAGAAGCAGGTGGAGGAGAAGATTTAAGACCGTCCAATCCCAGTTTCCTGCTTGATGATGAAGTGTTATATTTGGATTTCAATGTGCATTTGAAAGATGAGGTTCCTCCAATGGAAATTGCTGTTTACAAAGTCAGCCCTTCAGTGTGAAGGGGCAGAGTGTAATGAGAACTTCCTTCGTGTCTTGACGTCGATTTGTCAACGGCTACTTACAAAAAGTTTAATCATCCTGAAATCATCCCTGCTTTATTCCCATCTAGATTTTCCTTGAAAGGTGTTTTTTGAGGAACTGGAATTTCCAAACATGTCACGTGGAGATCCGTGTCGCTAAAGTGAATCCTGCAGTGGAATCAAAAGCCAGCGGTTTAATATGTGGAATGTTTCAAATAATACAGCTCCTGCTTATCCAATGGCGAACTTAGCAGACGCAGATCGGATTTTTGTCCACGTTTAAAATGGGCCCCTTTCAAACTGGGAATCATATGAAAACCTTCACCGTTTTGTAGCTTTGAGCAGGAAAATGACTCCAAGTGACATTTTATTTTTTATTTTTTGCCTCCAGCGAGAGCCAAGATTCCCGAAATGTTCCTCTCACGTGGCAGTGGTAAGACGGAACATTAATTTTGGTATATTCCGTGTTCTGTCGTTTTAAGCTCGGCGGAATGTTGAATGTCAGCATTGGAAACTCCCAACACATGGCAACCAAAAGGAATTTTGATTTATTGCGGTAGACGAGGTCAAAACTCACTCTTATATTACATTATTATTTCTATTTATTTTCAGACTTTGTGGGATAACTACCTGTCAAAGCAAGAACAATCTCAATCTTTATTGAGTCAGACTAGTCTGGGATACCAATGAAAGCAAAAACGGGCCATTTCATTTACCTTTAAATGTCATTGGTAGACAAAATTATCCGAATGAAATACCCTCAAGATCAAACAGTTTTGGGGAGAAATAATTGATCAAGTCACAAAACTCCTGAGACTTCAATTCAGTGAAAATTAAATTTAAAGTTGGCAGACCACCTTTTTTTTCTTTTTTTTTTTTTTTTTAAATTGATTTGACATTTTACAGTGGGAATCTTCTTTTCACACTTAGAAAATAGTGAGATGGGTGAAGTGCATTTCAGAGTTTGGATGTGCCAAGATCATGAATCATTGACCCTCCCCTAGAATTTTTTGCAATTGCTCATCTCAATAGAAAGGTAGTTCATATATATCATGTCACAAACTGATTTCAAAACACTTTTATATAAATTCATACTCATCTTACATTACCCTGCAAAACAGATTTGGAATTTGATTATGAAAAAAATTGTACCCTTTGTGCACCTTGTACAGGTACATCAACATGCAAGACTCATGCAAGCCAAAACCCCGCTGGAAATTCCACTAACACCACAGGCTAATAAACTTGAAAAGATGTTCGTCTTTCCATTGCAACGTATGACTTCAGACGACTTATTTGACACCAATTCAATTTGGACTTGACTTTGAGGTATCTTACGGCATTGCAGAAAGAGCATAAAAGCAATAGATGAGTTTTTTTCAGCAAATGCTGGAGATAGGTTCTTCAGAAAATTAAAGGGATTTATGATTATTTTTTTTCAAAATAGTGAACACTACTTAACTCACTTTTATTTAAAGAGCCCTTGAGAAAGATGGGGTTTAAAGACTGTGAATATTTGGGCTATATAGTTTTATAGTGCCGTCAGTTATCTTTCCATTATTCTTTCCAGTGAAAAGCGCTTCCAAATTTGTACAAACTGTAAAAACGACATTCCACTTACCATTTCTGTGCGTGCGAAATGCCTACGGTATCACCTTGAGGGAAATACCTAATAACACATAATGGCGCGTGTAAGAGGACCACTTGAGCCGTGAATCATTCATTCTAGAGCATTAATAATACAAGTCTGGAGGCGCCATGCAATTTGAAACAGGGCTTGCGTGAAACATAATCATTTAGCGTGTAAACAGTGGCTTTTACCTGCCCGATGCTCTGCTCCTCTACAAGCTAAACTATATCTCCCACCTCTTTTCGTTACTCTCTCTCAGAATCAACAACTGCTCCCCCAAAAAGGATTTTGAAATATTCCCCCATTCCCCCACGGGGCATGGCGTGGGTAACGCGAACGACTGGAAAAAAATTAAGGCGTGATTATTTCCCAGACGGGCACTTCTAACCTAATTAGGTTCGTCCTCACAAGTGGGCCTTGCATTATTTACACATCAAGAGGACACACACACACACACACACACACACACACACACACACACACACACACACACACACACACACACTCACACACACACACGGGTTTCAAAATGAATAATCATTGTTTGTTGACTTCGCCCCGTTCCCTCGGCTCGAGTTAAGTTGTGAGTCGTCATTGCGGCACGTTTGGCCGACTTCTGAGACAAGAGGCCTCTCATTCTTCTGCAATTCTCACAGTACTTATACGTGCCCGGCAGCCTCGGCCCAACACGGGCGGGGTATACGATGGACTGGTCGCTAGTCAATTGCAGCTCACCGAGAGACAAACACATTCACACCAGTGGACGATTTCGAGTCTCGTGTCGGCAATGTGGCAGGAAAAAGTGCTGGTAGAGCATGCAAACTAAGAAGGTTTGAACCCTGAATTTTGGAACTGCGAAGCAGATGGGCTCCCCACTGGGTTGCTGTGCTTCCTAAAATTCAACTCGAGTTTTTACTTCTGTGTAATATTTAGTGCTCTTTCCCGAACGGCACATCGTGGCAGCTGTTGGGAATGGTTCCCTCGATTGTTTTTGCATGCGAGTGTCGTAGAATGCAGATTGAATTCTTGGCAAAAGGCGGGTATGCACAACCACGTCCTTGAGACTCATTGTGTGCTCGCTGCATACAGCAGGAAACTCTTCATGAAAACCAAACCCATTGTTGACATTTGACGGCCTCTCTGTTCACCCCATTTCCTATTTGCATTCCCGCTCACACATGTATGTATGTGTTTTTTTTTTTTTTTTTTGCAGGGTTGGAGGGGGCGCAGTAATGAAAGAATCCTCCCTCGCTATCATTATGCTCCATATTCATCGAGGCAATTAAACTGCAAGCAAAAATGTCGGTTATGTTTCAAAAGCGTGTTTACTGACTTTGAAATGCGTATCGGGGTTAGTGGACAAGGCTGCGGGGGGAATCGGAGTTTGAGTTGTGGAAATGTAATACGGCCACAAACAGACAGGGAAAGCTCTGAAACCGCAAATGTCTCACTCGCCGTCTCCGAGAGTTCTTAGACATTTGCTAAGCTTGAGTAACAACTCAAACTAACGGCTGATCAAATGATTTGGGAATTAATAAACATGATCTCAGAATAAGCCTTTGTCAGTCCCGAAAAGGGATAGTTTCGTAGCAGCAAAGTGTGTCGTAGCTGCACCCAAGAATAGTATCATCATAGAATAAAAAGATATCCATGTACGTCCTGCATTTGCAATGGCGGGTTTACCAAGTGTGGTCTTGCATAAGATGAGGCGTACGTTACTCTGAATTGCATCATTTCTATAAACAATGAGCAAACCGTGCATTAAACGCTGCGGTCGCCCGTGATGTGTGTTTATTTTGCTCTCTCGGACGCTCAAGTGAAGCAGGTCTTTACTTTGCTAATAGCGTAATGCATGTTTGCTATGCAGCCCTGTGGGGTGCGTGAGGTCGACCTGGAACCCTCGTTGTGGTTCCCTAAGCACCACTTTGAGACAAGCCAACCGGCGTATTGTATCAGGAATAGTACATGCTCTAACATCGCTTACAGAGACAGAAAGCGTTGCTATTCATGTGATATCGGCGGTCGATTTTATGTACCCAAAGGAAACATTGCAATGTTCGCAAATGATCCACAGCTACGGATTTATTTTCAGGAAGCCCGCTCACTCATATCTGCTTCAGGTCCATTTTGGCTCTAACTGAAACCTTGGTGGTCCTTCCCTCCCCACAGGTGGAGATCACGCTGCAGGACGTCAATGACAACCCGCCTGTTTTCCCCAACGACATCCTGGATGTAACCATCGAGGAGAACGTGGGGGATGGCTTCAGGATAATGCAGCTAACAGCCACGGATGCAGACGAGGTAACGGCTCCCCAAGTTTCTTTTAGGCCTCACAGTGTTTTTGCACCTGTTTTGCACTCGGATTTGGAATGGCTTCTGAATTTTTGTTTCGCACTGTCGAAACACCAATATATAGCCTCACGATGCTACCTATGAAACTTTGCGATTTACAATGAGACTCTCATGAATTAGAAAACGTGGACATTTGACTTTTTAATCTCTTGTATACGAATTGAATTGCTCACTTGCCCGAGTCAGTGAAAAGTTCAGACTTTTTTTTTTTTTTTTAAATCCTTTTGGTATTTTGATGAAAATCTGTCCCAGACACCTGAAATTTGTTTTAAACTCATGTCGAAAACTGTGTATTATGTCTACCTTAAACGACCATGGTTCTCTGGTAAGGTAAACCTGTGATACCGATATAAGTCTTGGACTCAGTGGAACACCAGAAATGGTTTTAAACCTTTTGATTGCACGAGTTTACATTTGTGGTTTTAATGTGATGAAATGCGAAATTGAGTTTTCTCCAACTTTTTTCTGTTGCAAGGTAAGCACTGTACAGTATATGTCCTATCTGCGCTGCTATTTGCTCGTTAACCAAAGGTTTCAACATGAGAGCTATGAGAATTGTGTCACTCAACACACACAGTGTAAATCCAGTGTCGTGTATCAACACGAGTGGCTTCTTCACACCACCGTGACCCGCTCGTGCCACTTGAGCAACAAAGTGGGATTACCGGCCGTGACAGACGCTAGCTCGGCACGGCTAAAATTAGCCTCTGAACTTTGTCGCACCTGACCGAGGCAGATTACCGACTCTCGTTTGCTCGAGCATACCAACACATTGACCCACTCGCGCGTAATCCCCTCAGACACAGCGCCGACATATGCACTTGGAGATTGTTCCAATGTCTCGCACGTTTTTTTTAACGTTATCTGAGAGGTCCCAAAGGAGAGTGTCCTGCCCTGCCGCTAATCCCCCCCCCCCCACCCCATGCATTACATCACTGGAATGCCCTTTGAAAAAACACTAGATAAATTCACTATTGCTTACTTACATCCATTTATTTGACAAAAGACATTTTTAAAACAACCCAAACAAAACAACAAGTCTCGAATATATATTGTATTCCTCAAGCTGTGACACCTCCACAGGAGCCCTCTGAGCCGTACTGAAACAATGTAATTTTGACAGCAAATTTAAAACCATTCATGGTGTTTGATTTTTTTTTTTTTTGTGTGACTTATACACCTTTAATAATAATTTTTCTGATGCCTCAATGTTAGCTTAGCATGAATCCTTCATTCGTAATTTTTCTCCAGCTGATGTGTCTCCTGAGAAGGGAAGTCGTCAGAACCAAACTTTTGGTCTGAGTTTATTGATTTTGGATGACATCACGAGTACAGCCCCTCCCACCATCCCTCTCAATGAGCGATAGGTTTCCCGTCGTTAGCTGCTTAGTCACAATATGAACGTTAAATCCAGGGGCAAAAGCCGGGCCATTGAGATCACAAAGACCAAGAATGGTCTCGAGTTTAAATGATGAGGCCACACGACTTTCAACATGCAGCTGTTGGCCTCGCCCCCGCGGCGTGTGAGGAAAGTTATAAAGTGGCCCTTATAAGCTTTTTGTTTTTGTTTTTTTTGTTTTTTGAGCCTGTATATATCAACTGTAAATCTAGGAGCCCAAGGCAGGTTGAGAGTTGGGTTGGAATGCTGGATTTCAGGGACATTATGTGGCCTTTCATCTCGAAAGGCATATGGAATTGAAATTATGCTCACATTTTCCTGATGCGGATTTAAGGGGATGGCAGTCTGAGCTGTGGCCCATGAGCTAAAAATCCCATTTACTAAGAGCTGAATTGAAAAAAAAGTGTACACATACTGGAGATGTGTTGTTTAAAAAAAAAAAAAAAAAAAAAAAAAAAGGTTGCTAAGAAGTAAAAGTTAGACTCCAGCCAAGTTCGTTGCCCACATCCTTGTGCAGGAAACCATAGTTGCACTGACACTGGGAACAGATCGGAAGATTCCCCTTTGAGGCCAAGCTGTTGACCAGCTGACAGGCTGAATGCAGACATCATATCCCAGACCGAAAAGTGTCATAAAATTCTGTCTGGCTGGGCCCGTTTTCACCCCAGAAAGGTTGAATTTAAATCAGTGTTTAAGTCCTTGGACCAATACAGGTTAAAACTCTTTTGAAAACCTTTGTCACCTCATTTGACTGACACTTTTTATTCGATTTTTTTTTTTTTACTCCTGTGGAAAATTTCACATGTGCATTTTTAATGAGGACAAATTGCAACAGCAGGTCCTCCAGGAGGCATTTCCAGCAACTGTGTGTTGAAATGAACATCACCTATTGGGAGCTTTTGAGGCCTTCTCTTAGCTGACGTGAAAGACCAACAGCTGCTTTGTCCATTGATACTTTTCAATGCTTTCCTTGACTCGATGCCCAAGCGAGTGTGCCACAACGATGATGCAAATGCCACTTCATTGCAGATGTGCAGGAGAGGGCTTCGGTTTCACGCAAACCAAGACTCGGAAATTTCTCATTTCCGACAAAGAAAAGAGCACTGAAATGCGTAGTTCCCACGGATGTACTGTACCTACATTTCACAGTTTTAAGAAATTAGACACAATAACTTTAAAATACCGTTACACTCCATTGTGTTCCACATCAACACTTAATTTGTAGGGGACTTACATCCCAAGAACCCAAAATGTACTTCCGCCCTTTAGTTAGATAGATAGATAGACAGATAGATAGATAAGATAGATAGATAGATGTGTGTGTCGATATGTAACAGGGCCAGTAAAAAAACGTACTGTACTGTATTATAATTACACAAAATCTGTGAAATGATAAATACTTGATGTGTTTTGTTTTTATTTTTTACTCCATCCTCCATTACCAAAGGGTGGAACACCGTTTTTATGTGTTCCGCTACAGCCTTTTTTAAGTATTACGCCCGCTTTTGACTCTTCCTTGTTTCTCTCAACGTCCATGCGGGGGAAGCTGGAAAAAAAACTTTAGTTTTCATTTGCAAGTTTAAATATTTTATATTTTCTGCTATTTGCGTCAGCCTTTGTGATTGAGACGTTTAAACGCAGCCAATACAAGAAATCCTGCTGTGCCTCATCAATATTCTTAAACACAACGCAGTTGGACACTACCGCACACACACACACACACACACACACACACACACACACACACACACACACACACACACACACACACACAATGATCAAATGTTTCTTTTTAAAGATAATGTAAAATGTAAAAAGATAATGTTGTAAAATGACAATTAAATGTTGTGGGATCATAGTATGTGGCATACTTGCGGTTGAAACTATTAATATGTGGAATTTTGAATAGTTTTTGAGTGGTTAAGGGTTTCGTGTGCAGTTTTCTTCCTCTCCCTTTTCCTGTGTGCGTGGTTCATTTTGCCCTTCTTGACACGTCAACGTCACTGCCATCTTGGCAGGATTACGAAAAGCCTGGAAACCAATTCAAGTCAAAGCTGCGGCTACCTCTTTTTTCCTGGATAGCCACCGTGTCAAATAGAAGCAGGTGACGGGTGTCAGCACGTAGTTTTTCAAACGTCTGCATTGCCCAGTTTGTCCCGAAGCCTTCAGTCTGCTAAATGAGTTTCCTTCTGCTCCTACTGGAAGGCTGCTGTTTAATTGGTTAACCCCCCTTCCCATGCGGCCTTACCTTTCCAATGATGTGTCTATCGATGGCTGTAAAGTCGGCTTGAGTCAAGGTCAAGAGTAAGAGTGCCGTTAGTGTGTAAGATCTTAATCACATACTTTGCGAAAAAGATTACCAGAAGAATTCATGCATTTTTTTTTTTCCGGTCGTTTTCTCAAAACGCCATGGCCCGCCTGCCACGAATATTAATTGGCAAACCCACGAGCGTGAGTTTCCGGCTTGCAGCCCAGGTGGCTGATGGGATTTCCAGAGCGAGAGACACTGATTGATGACAGCGGGGTTTTTAGATGACTACAGACTCGCGCCGGCTGCCTTCTTACTTTTTGGTTTTATTGCGCCTGGACCACATAAGGGGGTCTCTGGTAATGCAATGAGACAAGGTCAAACATTCAAGAAAAAAATGGAAAGAACAACTCATCTTGAATTGTGACCAAAGTAACTTGGAAGACTTGTTTGTTTGAAAAATTGGCATGTTTGAAGTTGTTCGCCTAAGTTCGACTTTTAGGCTTTATTGATACGACAAAGGGCAGCATACTTAAGTCTCCACTTTCTTGGCACTCCGTGTTCTAGCTGTTGTCTGTATCTTTTTGTATAAAGCTAGTTTCCGTATCGCATTCAACTAAACCCGTGCTCAACTTTTGAAGCACATAACACAAAACGGGGTTGCTACAATACATCGGAGGCCACCATGTCATGGGAATACAATTGTCATCAGGCGACAGCCACTAAATATGCTAATACACTGATCTAAACCTCCTATTGTAAGAGCAGGATCAGAAAGCACCCCGCAACCTCCCCAGATACAACTGAAAAAGACTCTTCTCGCTTGGCTTTTAAGCAGTTGTATGTAATCGGACCCCTCGCTTCATCCCACTGAATGGCAGCCGCTTTTTGATGTTTGCTTTTTTCTTTTTTTTTAACACATAAAATAAAAACCCACAAGGCGAGACAGTTGTCTGATCTCTGTTTGTCGCCAGCGCAAACCTGAACGTCAGGCCTCTGTCATCGGGCTCTTTTATGCATCATATCGCATTCGGGGCCTCCTCTCCAGTTCCAAAGCCCCCTGCCATGGCAACAATAGTGTCTTCCACGTGCGTTGCAGCTTGTACCAAAGGATCTATTAGCTGCTTTATAAGAGGAACTCTGCAAACCTTCAAATGTGGGAAGTCCCTTCTGAAAGGGTGGGTTTCACTGAGGCTTAAACTGTACAAGAAAGCGACATGGCGTTCTCTCAAATCTCTGTCATGGCCTGGTGTTGTCTATGAGATGACAAGGACACGAGTCAGTCAACGGTCACACTTTGATCTGAAGCAGCCGTATGCTAACACGAGGAGCAAAATAATCTGATTTTTTGCTCGATGGAGTCCCTTTCATTACCAATCAATCAATCAGTAGAAATGCTTAACCTCTCCGTGGCCTTTGCAGTTACACTTTGAAGCCGATCAACAAAGTCCAATGCCGCGAAAAGACAAGTTTCCAATTTTTTTCATTAGGGTCTTCCTCCCGATTGAGAAAGCTGCACCAAAAGATGGCAAATGTTCGAGATGCTGAATAACCTCAACAGTTCAGTCCACAATTGACTACCGATCGATTCAGGTTGCAATCTGCTTTACTCCCACAGCCAATCGAGACAGACTTCAGGTTCCCCGCAACTCTGAACAGGATCATCGATAAAAATAGACAACAGCTGCAAACTGATCACCTATTTTTCTCTCTACCTCAAGGGCCCAAATGCTCTGGTGACGTACACCATCATCAGCGGTGCCGACGACAGTTTTCGGATTGACCCCGAGTCTGGCGACCTGATCGCCACCAAGAAGCTGGACCGGGAACGCCGCTCCAGTTACTCCCTGCTGGTGCGAGCCGACGACGGGAAGCAGTCGTCTGACATGAGGCTCAACATCACCGTCGAGGACGTCAACGACCACACGCCCAAGTTCTCACGGCCAATGTACTCGTTCGACATCCCCGAAGACATGGCATCAGGTAGGGAATTTTTCACACTTGGGGTGGCAGTTGAAGTGCGTCACCATTAAATAAGTGGTTTAAGTGGTCATCTCCCAACTGAAGGTGTGATCTTCCATACCTCTGTGTATCCTTGAGCAAGATACTGAACCCCTATTTGCATTATCATCCAGCTCAAGGTCGGAGGCTTGATCTTGAGTACCCGTCATCAAGTGTCCTTGCTGAAGCAAACATGTCAAACTCCAGGCCCGGGGGCCAGATCTGGGCCGCAACATCATTTTATGTGGCCCGCAAAGGCAAATCGTGTCCGTTACTGGCTTCTGATTTCAAAAATTTGTTATCCATCAGTTAGTCATACAAGTGCTAACATCAGGCGATCATACATTTATATGGGTTCACAGAAATAACGGCCCTCCAAGGGAAACTATAGCTACAATGTGGCCCGCGACAAAAAATAGTGTGACACCCCTGCTGTAGCAACACGATGACTTAGTGCCCAGCAAATCACCCTTTTGGTTCTGAGGTTCTGAACCGGAGTTCCCTACCCCTATGTTAGACTTACTGAAGATTCATCATGGATGGTTGTTTGTCGATATGTGCCCTGCGATTGACTGGCAACCAGCCTAGCATGTCCCCCAAAAGCAAACTGGTATAGGTTCCAGGTCACCTGCTACACTTTCATGACAAGTTGTACAGAAAATGAAAATGAATGCCATTCTCAATGGTCAAAGTATTCAGCAGCCAGCATAGTCAGGTACCATCATAAATGGTACATTGTATTTATTAATGTCATGAATGACTGGCAGTCTGCCAGGGTTTTTTGTTTGAAAGACTGACCATTTTGCGATTGAGCGAGTGAGTCATCGGTATTCATCAAAAACCTTGCAGTGATAACCCCTGGTGAGTTTTCATTTAATCGCATTGGCAGTGAAAAGCGAATCCTTGAAGGATTTTTTGTGTCATCAACTATTTCGCAGGCTCCATTGTGGCGGCGATCCTTGCCAGCGACTCTGACTCAGGGGTGAACGGCGAGGTCACATACTCGCTGGAGGACGACGACGAGGACGAAACCTTCCTGCTGAACCTGGTCACTGGTGTTTTCAACGTGACGCGGCCGCTGGACTACGAGAATCAGCAGTACTACATCCTGACGGCCAAGGCGATGGACGGCGGGGGGCAGGCCAGCACGGTTAGGGTCTACTTCAACATCCTGGACGTGAACGACAACGCTCCAGCGTTCAACGCCACCGTGTACAGCACATCGGTTTTGGAGAGCCTGCCGCCTGGATCCAGCATTGTTGCTGTCAGTGCCAGGGATGCAGATGATGGTATGTACATGCAAGGCAACGAACAGACATCCAGTACAGCACAACACACCTACAACTTATTGACACATGAAATCATTTTCACGTCATTGGGTACATTTGCCCTTCTACTTTATGGCACTGGATGCAAATTGATACGTAATGTCGCATACTTACAGGTGTTTCATATTTGACAACCATGGGCAACATTTTGAAATAGCAAATTGCATTAATTAAATAATGAAATACAATGCAAATAATAAAAAAATATATATATCAAATAAAAGTCACTGATAGTGTAGTGACACATTCTCTGCACTTTGGTACAGGGAGTGTGAGTTCAATTCCTGCTCAGTGACGGTGTGAATTTGCACCATCTGCCTTTTGCCTGAAGGCAGCTGGGATATGTTCCAGGTAAACCATGACCCTCATGAAACGCTATAGAAAATGGATGGGTGGGAAAAAAAATACAAATATTCAAAGCAATCAATGTGTTTGGTATTCGATTTCCCAAGTTGTTGTTGGTGTACCATTGGGAATGTCTGGTTAGTATTTTGGGCCAAATGGCTTTCCGTGCCTTCCTCAATTTCTTTATCTGGCCTGTTGAAAATTGACCCGCTTCTGGAGGGATGTACAGGTTCCAGGAATTTCACTGTTTGCGGTATTTTTAAAAATTTGCTTGAATGCCTGCTCGGTGCCCAAACAAACACCGCAGCACATCCAGCCACTCTTTGGTAATGGCAGATGTGGAATTCTCAACGAATACTCCAAAGGGAAATATGACTGCAATGATAAATACGAATATGTCCAAATCAGATCAACAACTCAGCTTTCTCCTGCTGAACTAATACACTGCTATCCTCCCTCTACAGTCATTTTCTGGCTGTATACAACCTCATATTTCATCTCATCCATGCATCATGTATCATGGCAGTCTAACCTCACGTCACGCTTCAAATAACTTTTAAAATACAACACGCTTCACCATGTGATTAAGAGTGAGATCAGGTATTGGCTTTTGCCAAGCCCGCTGTAATTACCGCTACATGCGGGCCCGTAAAGCGCTGGCTGTGACCTACATTCCCAGGGAAATACGGCGTCCAGTCCTCGCCGCAATCTCATAAACGTATAGCTGCCCGTTCCCACTGTCCAAATAAAACAGCGCCATTGTTAGCACTTCCTAAGCCCTGCCCTTTGACCCATCCCCTTTGTCTGTGGATAGCACAGCCTGAACTCAGATGGCAGTGGCACTCATGGCTTTGATAAGGGATTACTTGTGTACTGTAAATACGATCTCCCTGGGTTGTGGGAACGTGCAGATGCTTTCCACATGACGACCTTGTTGAGTTGATTTACCGATGTTCAATTTAAGATCATTTCAACCCCTCGGGTTCCACTAATGCATTTGGGTTGAATCTGATGTCAAGTTTAGAGCAGGGGTTCTGAAACTGTTTGGGTCATTTGACCCTCGTAATCCAAACTGCAATTGTATGCAACTGCCACGTGTAGCCCTAAATACCTTAATGAAAAAACACTGCCCATTACCATTTCTGTTACCATAATATGTATATATATATATATATATACATATATATATATATATATATATATATATGAATAATGTATTTTTTTCTTTTACAGAAAAAAAAATGTAAAAATAAAGAAAGTCATCATTCTTGCAAGTTATACTTTGTTTTGATGAAAAGTTATAATCTCATGAGAGCAAAGTCACATTATTTCAAGATAAAGGTGAACATTTTGATATTAAATAAAAGGTTAACGGGGACAAAGTCGCATCTTCATATGTGAATATCAAAAGTACAACTCGTCTTTACTACACCATTCATTCTGGGAAACAGACTTTATCCTCTAAAAATAGGACTATATTAAAAAAACAAAAACAAATAAAAGAGGCAATTTGTAAAGTAGGACTATTCATGCAGGGATCTCAGATTTATTTGACAATACATCACATTAATGTCATAGTATTGGCCCAGAAGTGCAGTCGAGATGAGTAATTGATTGTTTCAAATGGTGCACTGGGCCTAATGTCTAGGTAACCAATTTTTGGGGGAAAAAAAAGCGCTTTGACATGTTTGTCTTTCGATAGCTGCCTGGCATGTGCCCGAGATTGCATCTTCCACTTTGCAAATACAAGAACGGGGAGTTCCAGCTGTTGTGCGTCCACAATTTGTGGAAATGGATGCCAGATAATGCATTTAAGCACATTTAGCATATCTGACAATGTCATCTAGAACAATGGATGCCGGGGAAAATGTCCGACCTTCCACAAGCCTGCAAAATGTATTTGTTATCCAGCTCATTTGTAATCCAGGGTCTTATTAGAGCACGACTTCCAATTTTATTTTTGTTTATGGCAAGTGTGAATGTTATTGTTTTTCTTTTTTAGCTGCAAATTCACTCAAACATGAGGTAAAATTAAAATAGAATATGAAACAAGAGGTAAACCCAATCTGACCCAATCTACTTGCTCCTGCATTCATTTCCTCCAAATGAACTCCAGCGACCGGGTTTAGTTAATTCTTCAAATTTAGCCCTGGGAGCTAAGTACAAACTCGATTAACATAGCCGTAGCAGTAAGGACTTCTGACCAGATGTTTCATGTCCGTGTCGGGTATTCGTTGGTAGCGTATCTTTTACATTGGACCATTAGGTACTATTCTGTAGCTAGTGTGTGGTTACAGTTCAACAGGTGGTTTTACAGTCAGAACTTATATTTTTGCGGCGTAGTATTACTTAGCTTGGCTCATTAAGAAACAGCGGAATGACAAAAGGTTGACCTGAGATGAGTAGGAGGACTTTGGAAAAAAGTGAAACTTTTTGTTTGCAAACAGGAAAAAACAGCATGTACAAAACAAACATATGCCTCACGTCTGGACACAGAAAACAATCAGTGGTTTCCTGGTTTCGGCTATTTTTTCAGGACGCAGTTATCCACTTCCCATTCCAACCCTTGCAAGCTTTTTTTGTCATGTATGCTCTTTGTGTGAGATTTGGAACTTTCCATGTCAACACAATTGACGAAAAAAAAGATCCAAAACTGTTTGCATTTGCATTACTTGATGGTTTTTGAGTTTGAGCTTTTTCTGTTTTCACATCCATCCTTCGACATACGCATTTTTTTCACAATTTAAAATGCTTCAACCGGTCTTCCTAATAACCGTTCTGTGTCGTGCTTTGAATCAGCATACCCCAAGGGTTGAATATTAGAACACTTTTTCACCTTACTCTTATGATTTCTGAATTCAGCTTGTTATGAGAGGTAGTCCTGTCTGTGGCCGCTCCAAATTGAGGCTATCACTCAGTATAGCTTGTTTGTTTGTTTGTTTGTTTGTAGCTTTAGTTACATTCATGAATAAGGTGGTTTAAAGCAGCGTCCCCAACATTTTTTGCCCCATGGACCGGTTTAATGTCAGACAATATTTTCAGGGACCGGCCTTTAAGGTGTGGCTGATAAATACAACAAAATAATATATGACTTGCATGAAAAGTGTGGTATTTTCTAATCATAATAATAAACACGAATCATGAAACGAGGAACATCCTACCTGGCCGCAACGCTCCCTGGTCGTTATTGTAACATTTAAACATGCCTTCAAAATAAGATACAAATACAACGTGCATGAAAAGTACAACTCACCATCACCACATATTATGCAGAGTGGACTTGTTGCGTGGGAATCTCCCGTTGAGATAAATCCATATTTTAAGTAGGACTCCTGATACTGTCTACTAAATGTAGCCTTCTTTTTCTTGAAAGTCGTAGGCCCCTTTTCTGTCTCCGGGCTGGGCCTTTTCCCCTTTCCAAAGAAACTTTCCAAGGACGTTTGTTTTCTACTCATTTTGCTAGCTCCCGGGTTTCATTTTAGCGGTAACTTATCACGTGACCGAGAAGCGCACCTTTGACCTGCGTCAAGAGTGACAGTGACAGAGAATCCGGTCATTTTTCAAAATAAAACATTCCGAAATGAATCAAACACAACTTATGTAAGTTATTTATTCTTTATGTGCGGCCCAGTACCAAATGACCAACGGCCCGTTACCGGTCCACGGCCTAGGGTTTGGGGACCTCTGGTCTAAAGGACTGTGAATAGGCTCGCTACTACATCCAGTCAAGAGCCTGGAGAAAAAAAATCAAACTCCCATGAGGAATGTAAAAAAATAATTTCCATTTTCACTTGTGAAGGCGGCACGTTGTCAGCAATATTAAACATGAATAATGACAAAGCGTGTCAGCGTAGTCGTGGCCCGCACTTGAAAAAAGCTGTCGATCTTGGCCCAGGCGAGGAGCCAAGTCATGGCTGGCAAATCCTGGCATGGGGGCAGTTTTATATCAACTAGTAAATCATACTAATAGGAGAGAAATCTAAACTCAGAAGGGCTCACTCACGATTGATGTGGTTGTCCAATTTCACACTTAATGCGGGGGCAGGCACTCGAGAGACTGAGAGTACTAAAGCATCTGGACAGCATCTTCATAGTAACCCACCAAGACTAGTGGATAAAGTGTGCATACTTGAATATCGGACAGCAATGATACTTGACCCTTACCATACGTTGCAATCAATATTTTGTCACATCTAATCTGCCGTGATCTGTCTTGCAGGTCCCAATGCACACCTTCTCTACAAAATTGCATCAGGCGATCCACAGGGCCACTTTGTTATAACCAAAGAGGGGGTTCTACAAACCAAGAAGGCCTTGGACAGGGAGACGCAGTCCTTCTACAACCTGGTGATCACGGTCAACGACCTGGCTCCGCCGTCGATGACCCGCTTCACCAGCACAGCCCAAGTGTCCGTCATCCTCTTGGATGTCAACGACTGCCCACCCACGTTCATCTCCCAAAAGATGACGTACATCCAGGAGAACACGCCGGTGGACACATCAGTGTTCACTGCCCGGGCTACGGATGCCGACAGCGGGCCCAACAGCTACGTCCAGTATTCTCTCAAGGGACCCTTCGGTAACAAGTTCAGCATCGGCACTATCGATGGGGACATTAGGTTGATTGGAGAACTGGACCGAGAGGAGCTCGCCAACTACACTCTAACAGTGGTGGCAACTGATAAAGGCGAGCCGCCGCTGTCCTCCACCATGGATGTGACCATGTTGGTTCTGGACGTCAATGACAACACACCAAGCTTCTCCCAAAATATCTACGACATTGAGATCGAGGAGAACACCTTGAGCGGGACAGACATCATCCAGGTGTTTGCCACCGACGCAGACGAAGGCACAAATGGGCAAATCCGCTTCTCTGTCTCAGGGGGAAATACCAACGGAGACTTCAGAATGGATTCGGTCACAGGGATGGTGTCGGTGGCCAAGCAGCTGGACCGGGAAGTCCAGTCTTCTTACTCGCTGGCAGTCCAAGCATCTGACCGTGGAAGCAGTCCAAGGGTAGACCGCGCGACGGTGAACATCGTGTTGCTGGATGTCAATGACTGCTCGCCTGTGTTTGAGCTCTCTCCTTACACAGTCAACGTTCAGGAAAACCTTCAGGAGCTACCGAGAAACATCCTGCAGGTGACTACATTTACTTTTCTTTTATTGAGTGATTGACTTATTTAAGATGTTACAACATCAATAACCTTCACAGACTGAGCGTCTGAGTGAGAAGATGACTGTATTTTTGAATGGCAGTCCTGAGACCTTAAATGAGATAATGCTGTAAAGTCATTTCTTGTAGCTAACTCAATAAGTGCAGGTATGCCAGTGGTATCGCTGCCACTGGCGTGGTGGATGTTTCTTTTCACCGCATGTCATGAGAAAAACATGAATGAAGCGATGAGTTAATGATGGAAGACTACAATTTGTCCCGCGCAATTTAGACTCTGCGGGATTACATCGAAATATGTGACTTGGCTTAAATGCGCCACAGAAGTCATTACGCTCATGACCACCACAGTAATTTAAATGAGCCGTAAATAAAAATGGAGGAGAACGACTAATTTCCAGAGATGGCCCTCTCTGGAGTCAGCTGAGAATCAGCAAGTATGGGTTTTTTTTTTCCCTTTTTTTTTTTTTTTTTGCTGACTCCCAGAGTAAATCCGATTGGGCAAATTGAAGAAGTAATGAACTTCCTGCCCTCAATAATTACCTTCATGGTACAGCTGCGATTAGATTGACCCTCTGGTGGAACATTGTTAATCTCAAGTAGTCAACATCACACATTTCTGCTCACAGCTAACTCTATCGTATCAATGTGATACAGATCACAATCGCATCATAACCGAATAATGTTTGGTGGTGTAGAAAAAGGATGAATGGAATATTGAACAAATTATCTGCTCTTATGTCACAGAGCTCGCTTCCAAAACAAATCACTTTGAGGCATGTACATGCAGAAGTTACGTCCTTCTCCGTTTGTTTCAGGTTGTCGCCAGGGACGACGACCAAGGCGCCAACGGTCAGCTCAGCTACATGCTGAGTGGAGGCAATGACGAAGGCGCCTTCAGCTTGTCGTCCAGTGGTCAACTGAGTCTGACTCAGACTCTGGACCGCGAGGCTCAAGGGGAATACATCCTGCTGATCACAGCCACAGACTCGGGTGAGGCGGAATTCCCAGTTTCTTAGCTATGCGGGCTGGCATAAAGAGTAATTTTCATTTGTTTTTGCAAGAGCTTATTTCATTTCCAGAATAGATTACTCATTTCTGCAATTGTACCACTATTTCTTTTTTTTTCAAACGGGCGATTGGGTTTATCTGGTGAGCTCTGCCCTTAAATGGTCAGTGTTGGAGTTTGGTAACATACTTGCAGATCACCCAGGAAAGAATCCAATAAACTTGCGTGCAGTCAACAAATATTTTGATTTCACGGTGCGTGCAGCGCTCGTTTTGTGTGGCCCGATAAGTTAAACATTGGAGAGTTTTTAGCTTGCAAACCAGCGGGTGTTTTTTACGATCTGGTCCCGAGAAATCCATTGAGCGGCTTTGACTGAATCGTATCTCGGGTTTATTTGGATATGGCGGTAGGGCTTGTTTTAGTCAGATAAAAGCTTAACTTGTTATTGCTCGGAGGTCAGTTAATGTGCAGTTAAATGAGAACATGCGTTGCCTTGTAGCAGCCAAATCACATGGTGTCTCGGCTAAGTATATGTTTCGGCCCCCCTTCCCAAAGCCACTCTGGCATAGTTGTCATGATCTATGGGTGGTTCTGTATCATTCCTGGACATGTGCTGTATTTGGGACTGTGCAGAGGCCTCGGTGAAAATTGTTTCAAAGATTTGCATTGAATGGTCCCTGGAGAGTTGAATGAAGGACTGGGAGGGGAGTCTTCAGTCTTTGGCTTAAGATCAAAGTCTTCGGATGGCTGTTGATGGACAGGTCCCGGGGTCTAAATTTGAACGACCTGACTACGACACCATAAATTTCAAAGAACAAAAGATGGAATTGTATTTTTACTCCTCGAACTGGCTGTTTCTAATCATGTCTTTCTGTTTGTGAAACCCGCTTTATCGCAGTCATTCTCTCCATTTGATGCTTCACATTGGTGACAGCCCATAAATAGAAGATGTCAGTCGAGGAGGGAATTGGAAAAAAAAAAACTGTTCCAGGTTCTAACTGTCTCCCTCATAAATCTCTTATAAATCATACAAGCAATGTTTCAAATTAACATGTTAATATTATTAGTAGCCATACAAGTGTAACAACTGTCAACTGTTAATATTAGGATGGAAAAACAAAACGGTTCTGTTATTTTTTAAAAAGAAATATTGCACATTTGTTTTCAGATTTTGAAGTGTTTCCTTGGTATAATAAAAGTTCTCTGGCCTTCTGAGGTCAGAATACACAACCTCAAAAGAACTTTGCACGACTGTTGATGAACGTATTGCCCCCCCCCCCCAGGAGTCACTAAAATCAGCATTTGTCATTTTCACTCAATTTCAGCCATTAAAGTCAACTGTCAATTAGTGTAGCGCAACCTTGAATGCACCTCATATAGACTACACAAATATTTCCCGCTTCAATGTCAACACCATCACCAAATTTGAATATGTAAATTATGAGTCTCTGAATACCAACACTTTTGGCTTTGACCGGACAGTGCATGAAAATGCATGAAAATGGCGGATCTTCCCCTGCTTAGCTGCCAAGGCATGGGTGGAGGAACTCTGAAAGCAGCAGTATTATGTAAACCCAAAGTCCGGCCTGGGCGCCAAATAAGATAAGATAAGATAAGAAAACCTTTATTAGTCTCGCAATGGAGAAATTCCCAATTCACAGCAGCAAAGTTATGAATGGAAGAAGTAGAACAACATGTAGCCCATGTTCAAATTTCTACTGGTCTGCAGCCTCTGGTATAAAATTTATAATGTGTGGCTTGTCAGTATTGTTGACCACAGTAGAAAATACACATGTAAAAATAATATATCTCATATTTCACCAGAAGATGGCACAGACCAGTGGCCATGCACTCGAGTGCTTTTGGTAATATGCAACAAGTGCGTGCTCTGCCTCGCCGAACACACCGCTCTCAAAGTTGTGTTAGTTGTCAGAGTGAACCCCTCGCTGCATGACTTTTGTGTGGCCCTTTCCGTGCGCTTTCTAAAATGGAGACTGTAGCGAAGAAAAATAAAGTTGGGACAGGGAGGGCCGTTGCTTCCAGGACAGGTCGAAATTGGCATATAACGTTTTCAAGGCGTTCAATATCAAGAGTTAGGACCAGATAAAACAGGCAAACTAGGACAAGGTGACCGGTAACGAACCTCGTGAAAAATTAAAGCAACTCGGAAGCTGAATGGTCAGCTCCCCCCAAACACATTTTCACCTCACCAAATCTGGCCTTCTTTGCAAAAAGTTTGGACACCCATGGGAAAAAATGCCACAGAAAAAGAAAAACACAATCTAATCCATTGATGAATTTAAGTCTCTTGGTCAAATTTTGAACTACATGTCGTCGAGGGGCACTTCGTTCTGTCACCATCAACCAATTGATTGTGCACGTGTCACTTTTTCTTTGCCTTTTTTATTATATTCAGAAATTCCTTTGTCTCAACAAGGCAGCAGTGGCTGTAGCCCGGTGCAATGCCATTTATACATTTTTCTATCCATAATTAATATTGTTTCGACGCATATCTATTGATTTTTCTCAGGTTACACGGACTTAGGTGGATGTCTGTGCCCCGATGGTTTCTTCATGTTATATTTAGGGGCTAGCTCGCTTGAAAATTGTGTTTAGAAGTTTGTGCCACATGGAAAGAGCTGCCCTACGAGTGAACATACTAATTTAGCGCCGGACGGCTTTTTTGCACTGTTCACATGGAGTCCATATTTAGAGCCCTTGACGGCGCTTCCAAAATATTTTGACAAGACATTTTCAGTACAATGTTGGTGCGAGGCAGCGAGAGCGACAGAGAGAGAGAAAGGATTTGGGTCAGAATATCAAAATATCAAAAAACCCATAATCAAGAGCCCAGTCTAAATTATCCAGCAGTGTTTTTCTCACATTTTTGAGGCCTGGGCCCCAAGACGACAGAGTCAAATGCCTTGCCAGGCACGATTTGGCGCAACAGGCTGAAAAGGTGGATACTGCAGACGTGTCTCTGCATCCCGTGTCTCGGGCGGCTAGTTCCTGACCACATTTAACATTTCAAAAGCCGCCTTTATCTTGTCCCGTGGTGCCAGATCTCAAAGACATGCGGCGGAAAGACAAATGAGCCTGTTGGACAAGATAGCACTGAGACTACAACTGGATGGAAGTTTCAGGCCAGAGTTGCGCTATCTTGTCTCCTGCAGTACGTTTCTGCCTTTTTCCGTATCGCCTCAAGTCATTACAGAAATATTGTGCCTTCGGAGGTTGGTTGTGAGCTGCATTTGCAGGAAAAGCCAGCCATCACTTGTCTGTCACGGTGTTCCGCACGTGTGTGAAATCGAACACCTGACAACTGAATTGTCTGATTGTGGGATGCAGTGGTGCTCTGTGGAATCGTACAGAGTTGTGGTGTGACAATTTGGCATGTCATCACTGAGCAAGTGAAATGTGGCCTTCAATCAGGCTCTGTCAAAAAGAGTCCCATAAACAGGGGTTCTTAATGCTTTTGCCTTCGCGGGCTGTTTTCAAGTGATACAGTTTATTTGATGGAGCCGCTCAGCAACGACTCACGGACCCCTAGAGATCACAGGACCTCAGTTTGAGAGCGACCGGACTGTAGAGAGATCGCAAGCGGAACATTTCACCGCCTTTGTTTATGGGAAAAGCTGTTTACAACATTCCTGAGTGAATGAGTACATTTTATTGCCAAGATTCGGCATCATCTGCAGACAAATGCAAAAATACCGGAAAATTAATGATATACCTGAATCCCACTGCTAACGAAATCAACATTACATGACAGTACACGTTAACTACAGAGACCAAGCAGAAGCCAGAAAAAAGGTATGGAAAGGACTTCAATGATGTTGTTCATGCGCTCCTCAAGAGAGTTTTTTTCAGAGTCTGTGTGTGGCGGTGAGAATGTCCTCAGGGCACACTGACATGCCCTGACCGCATTCGGGCACATTTATTAAAGAGAAGCTCGAATAAATCTTTAAACCCATGCCCATTATGGTGGATCTGGTCACATAGAAAGCCCATGTTTTTATATTCTCAGTGTTTGTATACGTGCATCGCATAAGTGGTGGCCGAAATGTTTGAGCATCTCTCTGGGGTGAAGAAAGATATGTTCAACAGAAACAGAGTGCAAATTTGAAGAGCTTTCCTTGATTTCTGTTGTTCAGTCAATTTTCTTCCAAGAAACAAGTCAGTGTTTTATGCCCGTGATAAATTACACAAGCAAACACAACCGCAAACTCATCACTAGCAAATCAAAAGTGCTTGGCATAAATTGTGTCATCGTCCATTATTAGGCTAAATAAATAGGCTTCAGTATTGGTCAATCATTTCCCAATTGGAAACCACTAATTACAGATTTCACAATTCACTCAAACCCACCCAAACAACCAATTAATAGGCTTCAGAGTAGTCATGGAAGCGTGTTCTTATTTATTCAATTGTAGCATCATTTTTGTTCTGTCACAAACAATTACCTTCTCTTGCTGACAGTTATGCTAGCAAGAAGCTAACTAGTGCTTATGGGCACGTTTTCACTCCTTGGTATGTGGTGTTTTTATGGAAATAGTTTTGGGGAGTGTACAAAATAAAAGTTTTAAAAGGTGGTGGTGTGCGTGCATCGGCCTCAGATAGGTGCACCTTTTACGATTTTTCTTCTCTCCCAGCCAGGAAGTCCGCTTCCTGCTGTGCTAATTTTATCACAGCTCGTATTTACTCTTATCCACGAACGATTTTTGATAGCTATCCAAAAGTTACAAGACACGTTTATTTGTGTGGTAATGGCCATTTTGAGCAGCTTAGCACAGGTGTTTGTGATCATGTGGTGCCACTGTACATTCAACTAAAAAGAGACTGACTACATGGTCACTATTTATACTTTCTAGATTGTCTACAACACTGTGACTAATGTCACCTTTGTCACAAGAACACAAAAGTAAAATCACTCCATTAAACTTTACCACAAGCCTTAAAACCTTTGGATCTTGATACTCTCTCC